AAAATAATAATAATAAAAACACTGATCAGTTTCTCATTAGTCAGTAATTACTCATTACAAACAGGATAAAGCTTATTGGACTTGACATGTATTATATTTAAAGGCAATGGTTTAGGCTGAAGAAAAGTACCCTAGCCTTGTTCATAGGTTCACAACTGTATTTGCCTCCATACAACATAAATTTATTTACAATTTGGGCAGAGATAAATAGATATAAGATATTGATTTGCCCAAAAAATCTCTGAGTTTTGGAAGTAGGGTTTCTTCTGTCTTCTCATTTAAATCATCCCTTCTTTCTTTAGCTAAAAGCCAAAAAAATTTCAACCAAGTAATTAATATTTGAATAATATTTGGTTAGTCACCCAATCCACCCCCAGAATTAGAGAGCCAGGCCAGAATTCATTGAGTTTGACTGAATGAAAAGTGAGTAGGAATTGGGGTAGAGAGTATTATGCACATTAATCTATGATCACATTTTTCATATTTAAAGAAATTAATAGTTTACTTGCTCCTTCAGTCTCCTTTGGCAGCTTCTATTTAGAAAGGTATATATCCTGCTGCTTAGTGGTTTTTGGGTATGAGCATTTCCAATTCTTTCCCCAAAAAAAAAAAAAAGATTTAAAGAGAAATGGTGTCTTAATTTTAAAAAGTTGCTCTTTTTTCTTGGATTCCTCACTTGTGGAAAGTAGCTTAAATATGTGTTAATAAGGTGTAATGATCTATATCAATAATGTATAAGTACGGATATTGAAACACTTTCTGATTGATGAAAATGATCATATTCATACATTATATTCTTAAATTTTCTTAAATTTTCATTTTAATATTTTTATTACTAATATTAATAAAATTTATTTAATTTATAAATATATAAAAATATTAACTGTATTGAATGACTTTCATTTAAAAAATGTTTTCCTTAATTTTAATAGTATTGAATAGTTTATAAAATTTTAATTATTATATATATAATTATATTTTATTTATAAACAATTAACTTTAAACTTCATAAATATTTATATTTCATATATAATTATTATTTAAAATAAAATACTAGTACATGTTAATATGGAGGACGTAGTAGAAAATATTCATGAAGAATAGTTAAGAATAAACGAAAGTGTGTTCGTTGTCTCTGCTGTTTCAATGCTGTCTAATTCTTACTGTTAATTAGTAGATTGACAGTGATTATAGTTAATGTCGAGTCCTCAACCCTAAGATTGCTCCTTAATTAGAAGCTGAGCGTATAGATGTTGCAATCTGAGCTTGTATACTTTCAGATTAGCAGGCATGACTTGACTGATCAACTAGCAAAAGATGGGATCCCGAGAGTTGTGCTACTTGTTTCTAGCATGACAGTACAGAGAGAGAAGGGGGTTGGATAGAGTATCGAATTCAAGAGTATAGTTACTAAATTGAAATATGTATCGTGTATTGAAATTTTAGTTTTTAATATTGAGGTATTGTATTATAAAATGTAGTAAAAAATTTTAAAATTAATTATAAATGACATTTACTTTATGCATGTAAAATAAAAAAAATCAAAAAATATTATATTTTGTAACAGAATTGGAGATTATAGGATGTAAATTGAAAAGATGATAATTTTTTTAATTTAAAATTTTAACATATTCCTTAATAATTTAGATTTTTAAATAAAATATATATTTGTTATATTAATTTATTAATTAAAAAATAAATAACATTTATCATTTTAAAATTAAAAGGGATTTCAATTTTTTAGTATTTTTTTTCTTTAAAATCTAAAGATTGAAACTCATAAAATATAATTCTTAATGTTTCAATTCAAAACATAATAAAAAAATAAAATTTTTAATAATTAATTAAAATTAAGCTTATAAAGAAGTATATTAACTTTATCATACAATATGTCCTGTATTATAAAATATCTATCATGTATGTATAATACACTTTTGATATTTAATCAAATATGATACAACTAAAGATGTATTATTTTCTATTAGAATCATAGTGTATTGTACGATAACGATAACTATGGTGAAAGGTGTATAGGTGGAGATAATAGTAGTAGTATTAAGCTTGTTATGATGGTTTAGGTTGCTGCTATTCCTATTTTTATTGAATATAATCAGTCTATTTTTCAAAGGAAAAAAAGGAAAAGTGGAGGGATTAACCTATTTTGATGAAATAATTGAAATACAAAAATTGAGCTTAATTTTTTTTTCTGTCAGATCAAAGATGAACGTTTTAATTAGCATTAACTCCTCGAAAATGCATGTTTCTCTTTTTTAGTTAAAATGTTGGAGATCATTCATGAGCAATGGAATCTAAACATCTTTTTCTTGGATGCTTAAAACTTCAAAACCTTATTTGGTTTGATTCGTACACCAGGGCTTAGGTTATGTATTGTTCTTAGAAATGATAGATCCAAATTTCCATTTGTTTTCAGTACTAATTTGTCATTAAACCTTGGAATTCGTATCAAATCCCATTTAAATCGTGGGGTTTTGGCAGGATGTGGCGGGGTATTGAGGAACCGTGTGAAGGGGGGTCGGTTGTGGGACTCTTATTTGGACCCTTTCGGAGTGCAGGATTCCAACTATGCAGAGTTAATAGCTATCAAACATGCACTGCAAATGTTTGCTTCCTCTCCTTATGTTGGCCTTAAAATGATTCCAGGGTTGCTTTGTCATGGGTTCGCTGTTTCGTATGGTTCTCTGCCTCATTGGGCATATTGGACTTTATTGCATGGGGAGGATGATATAGGCCACTTGTTCTTGTACCTTGTTTCTGGGTTGTCTGGGGTTTAACTACCTGTGAGATGCCATGGGTTACTTTGTTATCGTGGGATTACAATCCTGTTGGGGGTATAGGGGTGCTGTAGAATCTGGTGTTATGATATGGCTACTTGTTATGTTCTTTTGAAGTAAAAAACATCCATCAAAATAGCTTTAGAATGTGGATATATATAGAAACACTAATACTAATTGTGTTGCTTGGAATATTTCTCCATGTATATTGAGTATAAAGATTTATTATAATATATAAAATCGGTGGTGATTTTGCACAAAAATTAACATTGGTACTTTGGGTTTGGCCCCAAAAAACTATTTACAATCTATCAAGAGTTGGAATAAACACCCAAAAAAGAGAGAGAGAGAGAGAGAGGAGATAACTAAGGAAAATCAATGTAAAAATCCTAGTTGATTTATCTAGTTTGTAACTGAGGGCTTAACATTCTGGTAAAGCTTGGTGATGAGGAACGTCTGTTTCCTATTTTGACATCCATGATACTGGTAATGAGCCCTGGCTTTGATATCTGCAAATCATCCATGTCTATTCCATCGCACATCATCTTAAACGCCTTCGACATGTAAGGCCGAAGCCCACATTTCTCCTGCACACACAGCAACCCCACCTTCAGGAAATGAACAACTTCTTGCCCTGATGAGATGCTCCCTTTCAGCACAGGATCCACCAGCTGCAGCAGCTGGTTCGATTTGTACATCTCCCATGCCTGCATGCATGCATTGAATTAATCAATTAAAGCATGATTTAATTTCATTACAATATTTGCTCTAATAATCTGTTTGCTTTTCAGGACAAATCAAGCTTGTGAACATGCAAATGTCTAAGTGGTGGCGGCAATTGGTGGATGAGCAACCAAATCCGCGAGACCCCATGAATGAATTGACAAAAGAATGGTCACTGATTTAACCTTTGCAAGATTTGGCTCACAAGTCTTCATTGCCATATCTTTCTTGTGTATGTAAAACGTAGTCAAAAGCCACTTTATGGACAAAGAAAATTCAATCAACTGCTATAAATTATGACCGCAAATAAATTTGAATGGTGGGCAGGTCTATATATCATCATCAAAAGGTTTGTTAAGGTGTCATACTGTCAACATAATATATATATATATATATATATACAAAATAAAATAAAATTGTCCCATTACTTAACATGACGCAATTTATAGGATACTAGACTTATCCCTTTGTCCCTCTTAATTAAGAGAAAATTAATTAAAGGAAATGAAAAAGAAATGAAATTACATAGTTATTGAAGCCTAGTCTAGAATTTGAGGTTGGTGGTAGTGGGTGAGCCCTTTCCACTTCTGTTTTGTGTTTTTTTAATAATTCTTTTCACTAATGTTAATGTAGTTTTGGCACAATATTAGCATATGAATGAATAAATAAATAAATAAATAAATAGATAGATATAAAGAAAGAGAGTAACACGAAAAAATAAAAACAAGAGCCAGTTCTTCTGCGTATATAAAAACCAATCATTGTCAGAGATAGATATAAATTTAATACAATATAATAATATATCATAATAATAATAATAATAATGATATAAAATTAAAGCTCCCTAACTACTTAACTATTATAATCATATATTTTGATGAAAAAGAAAAATAAGTTATTTGTTTTTTTAATGGAATAACAATACAGTGAGAATTGAGAAATTACAAATAAATGTTACATTTACCTCCTATAAAAATTTTAACGAATGAATTATGATTTTTTACTGTGTAATTTTTTTTAAAAAAAAGCATTTAAATTTTTATTAATAAAAATAAAAATTCACAAAAATGTCAATCAAATCTCTAATTTTTTGTTAGACAGAAAACTAATATAAAGTATTGTTTTGCAACCTTTCAATTTATCTCTCATAAATGTAGAAATAATTAAGAACGTATACCTTCTCAACAAGGAAGAACTCTCCCAGTTCTACATCGAAGTCTATTGCTGTTCGTCCACTCACGATCTCTAGAAGCAACACTCCAAAACTATATACATCTGATTTTCGTGTCAAGTGTCCGCTTACAGCATACTCTGGAGCAAGATACCCTCTTCGATACAAAAGCAAAAAAAAAAAAAAAAAGGGTTAATTAGAAACCCTTTTATCTAAAATGAAAAAAGAAAAATAAATTAAAGTCTTTTCTGAACTGAAAAGAAGCTTAATTTCGAGCCACTCTGTTCCACCTGCCCTGCACGAAAGTGTTGTCACATTTTGACTTTTTTTTTTTCGTTCTATTTTGGCCGACATTAATTTAAATATTTTTATTTCAATTGAATTTTGAAAAAATTATATATCTGAAAAGTACTTCATTCAAAGATTTAAAAAAAAATAATTTATGACAACTTTATGATGGGAAAAAGGAGAGTAATTGAAATATTGCTTAGAAGAAGAGATACTTACAGTGTGCCGGCTACTCCTGTACTAAGGTGAGTGACATTCTCGGAAAATAGTCTTGAGAGACCAAAGTCTGAAATTTTGGGAGTGAAATTTTGATCCAAGAGTATATTGCTAAGTTTGATATCTCGATGCACAATATGTGGCTTGACCTCCTCATGAATATAGGCAAGGGCTTGAGCAATCCCTAGAGCAATTTCCTTCCTTGATTTCCAACTAAGGTTTGCTCTAATTTTCTCCCCTCCTAGCATATATAGAACAACATTTTTGCACAAAAAAATCAAACAAATGCATATATTAAGTCATTGCACTATTCTTTTAACAATATGGACTTTTTTTTTTGGTTCAATCGGTAAAATATGAAGCAGGATTTGGATAGAGATTTTAAATTTGAGGGACTGTGTAATTTTTTTTGTTTAATATCATCAAAGATTTACTTTATTTTGTACTGTTCAAGCCCAACGGGCTTCCCTATGTATGTGAAAAAGAGAAAGAAGAAGAAATGGGAAGAAAGAACAGAGCCTACCTAGCAAGACTTGAGCCAGGCTATTGTTTTCCATGTACTCATAAACAAGAATTCTAGAGGGTCCATCAATGCAGCCACCAAGGAGCTTAACAAGGTTTGCATGGCTTATATTGGATAGTGAGACTATTTCAGACATGAATTCCCTGTCTCCTTGCTTTGATTCCACTGATAACACTTTAACAGCTACTGTTCTTCCATCTTTGAGCCTCCCCTGTAATGTCCAAATCACAACAATATTGTTAGCCAAAGCATGCTTAAGTTTGAAGTCCCTGAAAGTGGAAGTAGGTTCCAACCCCACCAAGGCGGCTCAAATAGAAAAATGCAAATTTTTCTCCCTCTACGTCTATGATATAATTAAAAAAAAATTCCATGATAATATGATATAACCAAATAATACCACTAATTATACCCAATAAGAATGTGATTAATTAATGAAAACCACCTAACAATGATATAAAGTCTATTATATCAGGTCAGATTTAAGTCTGACAAATAAAATTATTTGTGTTATGATTAATTAAGTTAGTTATAATGAGGTAAGTCTGCAAAAAAAAAAAATTTTGATATGATTTTAAGTAATGTATATAGGTATTTGTCATGATTATAAGTTCTTTGACATTTGTGTAATCTCAATTTAATTAATATATGAGATTTTCGTTTTTTTTAAAAAATAAAAAAAATGAATTTTAGAAGAAAAACGTATGAAAAGGGAGGAAAACTACCTTATAGACAGAACCAAATCCACCTTCACCAATTTTATTGGAAGATCGAAACCCATCAGTGGCGATTTTCAATTCATCATACAAGAAGGCATGAAGGTTTCGAAGAGTTTGAGAATCTGGAGCCACGAGTAGTTGGCCAAATTAACAAACTATTGCATAAATCGAAGTCCCAAATTGATAAAAATAAATAATATTATTTTTTAAAAAATAATCAAATAAAATAAATATAATTAATTATGTGACCCATGAGGCATGAGTAATATATACATATATATATATATATATATATATATATATAAAGTCAACTAGAAAAGATATAAAATACTTTAAAATCTAATAGTAGAAAAAAAACCTGTATGTATATTTATTGCTATTAGAAAAGGGCTGCATTCATTCCCCTTAGACATTGCACCGGCTCACCGATAACATTTATTGTTGTGGCCTATCCTCTTACTTCTTCCACTCTCAAGTATTAATCTCAATGGTTTGAAATTTAATATTATATATATGTATATTACATAAAATTTATATTTATATAATGTTGCATACTTGGGACTGATAAAGTTGAATGAGAATCCCAGGTTGGTTTGCAAAAAGAGAAAAAGGAGGAAATTTTGACATTGTATACTCTTAAAATTATATATATTAGTTTGAAAAAAAAGAAAAAAGAAAAATATCCAAGCTAAGATATATATCAAACCCAAAGATATATAGAAGAAAAATATGGAAAGATTGAAAATAGGGATAAATTAAAACTCTCGTACTCAACCTACCTTGTTCGCTATGATTCGAAAAAGATTCTGACGAAGAAGAAGAAAAAGAAAAACAATTTAAGCTTGAAAGGCAAAAATTCATGATCACTCAAGCAATATATTCGATATATCTTCAAATATATATCTATTGGATTTATGCACTCAAGCTTTCATCTGTATAATGATCCATCAGAATTCTTGGAACATCAAATGGAAGAGAAAAAATGATGAAGAGAGATATCAGATTGAGGTTAAGCTCAACACACCTTTATATATAGCAATCATTGGAGCAAAAATATTAGTTTCTTTTCTCAACTTGGATACTTTTAATAAATGCAGTCCAGTCATCAATAGAACGTGGATGATGCAATAAATGAAAGGCAAGAATTAGAGGAAATCCCTTTTCTCAAATTTGGATGGGTGAGATCACTCTATGTTTATTTCTTCACTTGCGTTTAACACCCTTGGATTGCATTCAATCAACATGGAAGTGGGGGGTGGGGGAGGCGGCCGCTGTCTATGTTGATATAATTGATACTCTAGTTTGATTTTAATTTTTTAGTTTTATTTAGTTTTTTTAGTATGTTGACTTCCTGATGGAGACCAAACATATTTAGAGCCAATGTCACAGTATAAGAAAGTCTAAATACAAGCAGGAATAGTTCGAAAAGTCTATATATGGTCAATATAGAGCCTTGGATTGAGCAATAAGAACAAATTTATTACTAAGAGATTATAAATTCATGGATTTATTCGACCTGTTTTAATTGTATATATGATTTTAGATGCACAGTAAGATATTATATCATAATTTTGTTTTTCAATTTTATAATTTCATTATAATGTTTTTCTTGATGCAGCAGAATCTGCAATTGGTGGCATCTTTGGCTTTGATTGGCTGAGGCCACTCATTTGTATTAAAATAATTTTGTCAATAAATTCTACAACCAAACCTCAACGCTCAAGTTTGTCTCTTTTACACGAATGCATATACATATATATTTGGCTATGCCTTATTCTCTTAAACGTGATTAATTCATGTTTTGGATTGATTTGGATAGTTATCTCTCTCACTCATGACTATTATTTTTTAATTTTTTTGGATAAATCAGAAAGTTAAATAGATCAAGGTACAAAGGAGAGAAAATAATATCTAATAATAAATAGTTCTATGATCATTTCATTGACATTAAATACCTTTAAAGCAACATAGGAGGAGAGTGGGAGTATAAAAACAGGGAAGGTAGAATTTGGCATGAGCTGGGATCTGTTAAACCCCTCATCAAGGGATGGCAGCAGACGAAGTTTGGGAACACGCACGAGAGAATCACAAGGCTTGAGGAGGTGATTTAAGAGAAGAACGTTAGGTGGCAGCCAGGGGACAAGGGATGAGAATATTAGGGTGGAAATTTTGGAAATTGAGGACAGAGTTATGGTCGTTTTACCTGGCGGAGGAGATGTCGTGGTAGCAAAAATCGAGAGTGAAGTGGATTTTAAAAGGTGATTGGAATGTTAAATTTCGTCATACATTGGCTTCGGTTAGGAGGAGTTGTAACTTCATCAACCAGTTATCAATACGAGATAAGGTGGTGGAAAACCCAAGGTTTATAACAGAGGAAGTGGCAAAGTTTTTTGAGGACTTATACAGTCATAGGAAGGTTGAACCTCTTATGGACATGGAATATAACTTCAAGTTTCTCTAGGAACAGAAAGCTACCTTTTTCGAGAGGTCATTCTCTGAAGAGAAAGTGTGGGAGGTGATTTCAAAATGTGATGGTAACAAGGCACTGGGGTTAGATGGGTTGAATGTTAATTTTTTTCAAATATTAGGGGAAGACAATTAGAAGGGAAGTGACGGGTTATTTGATGGATTTCTTTGATCCTACATCTTTGAGGAGCGCATTAATATTTCCTTTATTACACTCATTATTAAATGCGCTAATCCAAATGCCTTGAATAAGTATAGATCAATTAGTCTAGTGGATAGTGTTTACAAAATTATGGTCAATGTGCTTGCAAATCATCTAAGGCAAGTGATTGAGGAGGTTGCAGAGTACAATTAGTTCGCGTTCATTAAATGCAAACAGATCATGGATTAGGGTTTCCTTGAGTTTGTGATGTGTAAGATGAGATTATGAAATCAATGGAGAAAAAGGATGAGGCCATGTATATCTACAGCTCTTGTATCGGTTCTTGTAAATGCAACACTTACGAGGCAATTCACAATGGGGTTGAGGACTTAGACAGGGGTGTTTGCTATCTTTTTTCTTGTTCAATTTGGTGACAGAGGTTTTCAATGTGCTTATGAACAAGGCATTATTTGGTCATTGGGCTATGTAAATTGAGATTGAGAATATTGGCTTGATGGTATCTCATCTGCAGTACACAAATGATATAATGATTTTTAGTAAACCAAAATAGACAGTGTGATCAACATGAAAAGGGTTTTAAGATGTTTCCGAGTGGTGTGGGATTTAAAGATTAATTTCCAGAAAAGTAAATTATAAAAATAAAATCTATATGAGGTTATTGTTGATTGGAATAATGGATAAAAGTAGAATCCACCTCGTAAATTGAGGGTCGATATGCAATTATAAAGATGGTGGGGGCTTGGAATCATGGATCTTTAACTTAAAAATAAAGTATTTTTTAATAAATGGATTTGAAGGTATGATCACAAGCACAATAGCTTGTGGCGTACAATCATTGTGGAAAAAAATGGTAGGGAATGACAAAGGCTATTACCTCAAATTGGTAGTGGCAAGAGGGCATTCTCGATATGGAGAAATATTATTAGCCCACTAACCCTAAATGAGATCTTTTTTTAGTATTGGCATTGTTGTTTGCAACGGAAGCAATATTACATTTTGGGATGATGAATGGATTGATGGTACAATTCTTCGTATGACATTCCCAAGAATCTTTGCCCTAGTGGTTAACAAGACCAATACCATCAATGAATTCGGCAATTGGATAAATAATGAGTGATTGTGGGATATTGCATTGAGCAAAAGTGTTTTTGATAGGGAAATAGGGATTTGGAATCAATTTTATGAATGCATTAAAGATGCATTTTTCAACTCGATGATGGTGGATAAATTGATTTGGAAAGGCTCTACAAATTGTACTACACAACAAAATCCTTTTATATTCGAAAGCAGTGAGTCAAACATGACAATATGAAAGATGGCATGGGTCGGGTTTGTACCTCTTCAAATTGAAAATTTTTGTTGGTAAATCCTTAAAGGGGAGGTGGCGGTCAAATTTGAACTAGTGTTTTATGTAATATGGAGAACAAGATGGTTAACCATTTGTTATTTACTTGTGATGAGTTGTGGAAATTATGGAAGCTTTGGTGTAATGCTTAGGGGATAGTTTGGGTAGTTTTGGGAGAGGCTATCTCATTTTTCTTGATATGAAATGACATAATTAGCACTCTTGGGAAAGAGAAGATTTGGTGAATGGTGTTTTTCCCTATCGTTTGGTCTGTTTGGTTATTCCGAAATGTGCTTATCTTTAAAAGGATAGTGTGGGATAAGACTCCTAGTGTTTGAATTAATTAAACTCAGAACCTCATGGTAAGCCAAGTCCAAATGGCAAGAGGAGAACAAATCAGTTTTGGATATCTGTAGATTCCTTATAATTACAGAAGCCACTGAGTATAGCGAAAGTGTAAAAGAAATTGGTTTTGCGGAAATGTCCTCCAAGAGGTTGGCATAAATTCAATGTCGATGATGTGATTAAGGGGTATTTGCAAAAATTAACATTGGGGTGTCCTATGTAATGAATTTATAGTGATCAAGGGTGCATTTTCTAAGGCTACAAGTTAAGGGGACCCAAATCTTGTCGAGCTTCTTGCTATAAAAGAGGTGTTTGTAGCGTTCACAGTCTTGACATAGGCCTCCAATGACGAACTTCTAATTGAGAGCGATCCCAAAAGCTTGATTAAATAGGTGGTACTTAATCCAATAACTTTGCATGGCAAATTATGCATGGTAGTGTGACGGTCAAGAGTGAAGTATTAAGGAGGGGATGTTTAAGTAGAAGTAAGGGTATATGTGTTATTTGTAATATAGAGAGTTAGAGATAGTTGGACACCTATTATTCAATTGTCGTGAGACTTGAAAACTTTGGGGTTTGTGGTTTAATTTATGATGTGTTCAATGGTCTTTATGAGGGAATGTTAGGACTTTCCTTATTGCTTGGAAAGGAGTGGTGTTTAAGGAGGCTAGTAAAGGGTTGTGAAATATGTTCCTTTTTTTTTTTTTTTTTTTTTTTTTTGTTATTCTTTGTCATGTGTGGTTGTTTAAGAATGAGATTGTGATTAGAGGAAAGTTTTGGGTTTTAGATCAAGTCTTTGATTTAGTAAAGATTCGTGTTGCTGCTTGGGCTCGTGCTAAATGGTCGAGAATTGTTGGTTCTACTCTTGATATTAAAATTTTTTGTATTATCTAGATGGTAGTCTACTAATTAATTACTAATTGAGACTAATTCTATTAGCATTATTAAGTAAGTTAGTGATTCGAATAGTGCATCGTGGAATTATAAAAACCGGTTGCTCAAAATTGAATTTTTTAAAAGGAAGATAATTAATTGAAAAATCATTCATACTTTGAGAAGTGCAAATGGAGTTTTTGATCAATTAACTAAAGATAGGGTATTGAGAGAGAATAATTTTATTAATATTATTCCTTAGCCACAGATTTTCTTTCATATTGTATCTTATATGGGTTATCATCTATACTCGAATTCAAGATTATTTAATTACAAAAAGGTCAAAGAAAATGCTTGATGATCACAAATTAAATATTCCTTAATGCCAACCAATTATTAGTCCCCCATTAAAGAAATAAAAAAGAAATTTGGGAAAAAAACATAATACCAGGTCGAACTTGGTGAAATGAATTATTGAGGTATGGCTTAAGTTTGAACAAAACCCAAAGGCTTGTTCTCCAAAAATTCAACTCAACTCAATGATGGTA